ATGAGGGAGGTCATCCGGATATGCCTAGGGCCTTTTCGTCTTCTCCTGAGGCTCTGGCTAATGTACAATGCTTTGACACAAGGTTGTAAAGTAACAGTTGTTCATTTGGGGAAAAAATGAGGGTCTTGCATGACTCAATCTCCAGGCTGAAGTATCCCTTTGGTGAAATGAGTTTGGCAGTCCTGAGGTGTTTATTTTCCTTACATAATTTTAGAAGTTGTACTTTCTTGATATTGTCTGACTGAGAACAAAGGGATGAGTGTGGAAGGCATCACAGCTTTCTCCCATTTACAATCCCATTGTCATTCCCTTCTTCCTCTGCTGGGTTACATTCCTCTGTTGATAGATAACTTATTTACTGAGTTGTGTTCACAAAAATCCAAATGTCAGTTGAACTTCTTAAAGTCCTAAGCATTCAGTTCAGTTCAAGGTCATCTTAGTGATGACCAGATACAAATATTTTTGAAGATCTATAGAAAATTTTGATAAGAGAGTTCACACCACCCACAATACCTTTGGAACCACTGAGCTACAGGAATGAAGAGGAAGTAATCTGCTACATGCTGGGGACCTTTATGCTTGCACCTCATCCAATGCTCACAATGACCCTTTAAGTAGGCACTATTATCCCTCTATTCCAAGACATCAATTAACTTGTCCCTTATCTCACCTGACAAAAGGTGGAACTAGGACTCAGACTCACATATTTCTGAATCCTAAACTCAGGCTTTCAGCAAAAGACACTGTCAACAGAGTAAATAGACAACTTACAGACTGGGAAAACATATTTGCAAACTATGCATTTGACAAAAATGTAATATCCAGCATCTATAGGGAACTTAAACAAATTTACAAGAAAAAAAAACCCACTAAAATGTGAGCAAAGGACATGAACACACTTTTTTTTTTTTTTTTTTTTTTTTTTAGTGTAGTGGTGTGATCTCAGCTCACTGCAACCTCCACCTCCCGAGTTCAAGAAATTCTCCTGCCTCAGCCTCCCAAGTAGCTGGGATTACAGGTGCCCACCACCACATCCAGCTATTTCTTTTTTTCATTTTTAGTAGAGACAGGGTTTCACCATGTTGACTAGGCTGGTTTTGAACTCCTGACCTCAATTCACCCACCTCAGCCTCCCAAATTGCTAGGGTTACAGGTGTGAGCCACTCCACCTGGCGAACAGACACTTTTCAAAAGAAGACATACATGTGGCCAAACAGCATAGGAAAGAAAGCTCACTATCACTGATCATTCAAGAAATGTGAATCAAAACTACAGTGAGATACCATCTCACACCAGTCAGAATGGCTATTATCAAAAATGTCAAAAAAAAATAACATGCTGGCAAGGCTGTGGAGAAAAGGGGGTGCTTATACACTGTTGGTGGGAGTACCAATTATTAGTTCAATCATTGTGGAAAGCAGTATGGCAATTCCTCAAAGAGCTAAAAACAGAACTACCATTTGACCCAGCAATCTCATTACTGGGTATATACCCAGAGGAATATAAATCATCCTATCATAAAGACACATGCACACGAATGTTCACTGCAGTACTGTTCACAATAGAGAAGACAAAGAATCAACCAAAATGCCTGTCAATGGAAAACTGCATTTTTAAAATGTGGTACATATACACCACAGAATACTATGCAGCCATAAAAAATAATGTGATCATCTCTTTTGCAGGAACATGGGTGGACCTAGAGGACATTATCCTTAGCAAACTAACACAGAAACAGAAAAACAAATACTGCATGTTCTCACTTATAAGTGGGGATAAGGCTGGGCGCGGCGGCTCACGCCTGTAATCCCAGCACTTTGGAAGGCTGAGGCGGGTGGATCATGAGGTAAGGAGATCGAGACCATCCTGGGTAACACAGTGAAACCCCGTCTCAACTAAAAATACAAAAACATTAGCTGGGCATGGTTGTGGGTGCCTGTAGTTCCAGCTACTCGGGAGGCTGAGGCAGGAGAATGGCCAGAACCCGCGAGGCGGAGCTTGCAGTGAGTGGAGATGGCGCCACTGCACTCCAGCCTGGGTGATAGAGTGAGACTGTGTCTCGAAAAAATAAATAAATAACATTACATTAAATTAAAATTAAAAAATAAGTGGGAGCTAAATGATGAGAACACATGGACATAAAATGGGGAACAACAGACACTGGGGCCTACAAGAGGGTGGAGAGTGGGAGGAAGAAGAGGAGCAGGAAACGTAACTACTGAGTATTAGGCTTAGTAGCTGGGTGACGAAATAATCTGTACATCAAACCCCTGTGACACGGGTTTACCTACATAACAAAGCTGCACATGTACCCTGAACCTAAAATAAAAGTTTTTTTAAAACCACAATGAAATTCAAACATCAACAATTTAATCTCTAATCCTTCTCCAATCAAAATTTTAAGTTTTTTTAAAAGAAAAACTTTTAATGAGCAGAATAAATTGATTTTTTCTAAAATATAATAAAATAAAACTCATGTTTCACTCCATACCATTGTGCCTACAGGAATTCAAAGAAAGGAAAGATGACTGCTTCTAACAGAAATAACTATACGGGCTTCAATGAAGAGACAGGATCTGAAATGGGCCATTAGGACAAAGAACAACTCAGGAGACTGAGAACACAGGCAAGGGTATGATATGAACAGGGAAAATAATTAGAAAATGTTTGGAAATGAGAAAGTAAAATGTGGGTCAGGTCCTTCAATGTAAATCAAGGGAGTAGATTGGGGCCAGGCTATGAGGGCTCTGAATGACAGCCTAAGGAATGGAAACTTCATCCTACAGATAAGAGAAGTCACTGGAAAGCTCTGAGAAGCCCACAAACATGACAAATAGCATTTCCAGGAAGATTACTCTACAATATTAGGCAAGATAACTTGGGAAATGGTCTTCAACTCTGGCAACTTAACAGAAATACCTAGATTTCTTCTTTGTTTTCCAAACTTTTCATTTTGAAATAATTTCAGACTTTCAAAAATGTTCCAACAATAGAGTCCCCATATACTTTCTGCTCAACTTCCCTAAATATTGTTTTAGATAACCACAGTGCAAACATTAAAATCAATAAATGATCACTGGCATCATACAATGAATGAATCTACAAACCTTATTCAAATCCTCTTTATCGGGCCGGGCGCAGTGGCTCAAGCCTGTAATCCCAGCACTTTGGGAGGCCGAGGCGGGTGGATCACGAGGTCAGGAGATCGAGACTATCCTGGCTAACATGGTGAAACCCCGTCTCTACTAAAAATACAAAAAACTAGCCGGGCGTGGTGGCGGGCGCCTGTAGTCTCAGCTACTTTGGAGGCTGAGGCGGGAGAATGGCATGAACCTGGGAGGCGGAGCTTGCAGTGAGCCGAGATCGCGCCACTGCATTCCAGCCTGGGAGACACAGCAAGACTCCGTCTCAAAAAAAAAAAAAAAAAATCCTCTTTATCTTCCCACTAATGTCCTTTTTCTGGAACAGAGTCCAATGTATGACCACACATTGCATCTCATTGTTCTGTCCTCTCAGTCTCCATTAATTTGGGACACTTCCTCAGAATTTCTTTTGCCTTCATGACCTTAACATTTTTGAAAAGTATTGGCGTGTTATTTTGTAGAGTTATCCTCAGTTTAAATTTTTCTAATTTTTTCTCATGATTAAACTGAGGTTATGCACTTTGGGCAAGAAAACCAAAGAGGTGATTTTGTGCCTTCTCCATCCGTATTAGGATGCCCTGAGATGTCGATATCTCTAATTAACGGGATGTTAACTTTGAGCCCTGGACTAAAATTCCTCCACAATAAAATGACCATTTTCCTTGGAAGCATTCTTAACCAACCAATGGCTGGGCCACACCATGCACCAATCGAATCAGACATACTTGGAGAAGGCACAGACATTGGTAGGTTTCAAATGCCCTACAAGTGACTCTAACCAGTATCCAGGGATGGAAACTCAAAGTTTAGACAATGAAGATTAGAATCCTGGAAATCAGCTAGGAAGCCATTCCTTGGGCTTCTCTTTTCAAAAAGAACATCCAATTCTAGACACAAATAAATATATATGGACTTTGGCATGGACCCCTGGTAGGAAAATGAGAAGGTTAAAAATCCTCTTATTGAGAACATGATGAGTGAATAGACTGCTGTCTAATAAAAAGAGAAGGCAGGGCTGGGCATAGTGGCTCACACTTGTAATCCCAGCATTTGGGGAGGCCAAAATGGCTAGATCACTTGAGCCCAGGAGTTCAAAACCAGCCTGGGCAATATGGTGAAACCCCATCTCTACAAAAACAGACAAACAAATAAACAAAACAAAAAATGAGCTGGGCATGATGGCATGTGCTTGTGGTCCCAGCTAATCAGGAGGCTGATATGGGAGGATCACTTGAGCCCAGGAGGTGAAGGTTGAAGTGAGCTGTACTCCACTACACTTCAGCCTGGGTGTCAGAGTGAGACTCTGTTGAGAGAGAGAGAGAGAGAGAGAGAAAGAGAGAAGGCAGGACACTAAGTGAAGTGACCAGCCCTCCTGGCCTATTTTCCCTCCAGATATCAGAAACCCTGGCTTCAGTAATAGTGCACACCCATATATTTTATTTTCATAAGCCTGACATGAGCTCCTAATTGCCACTGATAGGGACAGAATTATGAATCATGTGATCCAAATATACGACCACACATGCAAAGATGCACACTTCCACATAGAGTTGAATGAACAATTCATAGACTCCAGATTGAAAGTACATGACCTCCCTTAAACAAACCTGTCCTCCCCATTTGGTTCTTTGTCCTTAATCTCTTCTGAATCTGTTGTAAATTTTATGAAATAGGAAAGTGTACACATCTCCTGCCACCAAGTTGTTTAAGTTAGAAAATACTGTGGTCAGGCCGGGCACAGTGGCTCACACCTGTAATCCCAGCATTTTGGGAGGCCGAGGAGGGTGAATCACGTGAGCTCAAGACCAGCCTGACCAACATGGAGAAACCCCATTGCTATTAAAAACACAAAATTACCCAGGCGTGGTGGTGCATGCCCGTAATCTCAGCTACTCAGGAGGCTGAGGCAGGAGAATCGCTTGAACCCAGGAGGCAGAAGTTGCAGTGAGCCGACATGGTGCCATTGTACTCCAGCCTGAGCAACAAGAGTGAAATTCTGTCTCAAAAAAAAAAAAGAAAAGAAAAGAATGTGGTAAACTTCCTTAGAGTTATTATCTTAAAGGGATATCATCAATCACCTCCTCGGAGGGGCCATCTGATAAGATGAAAAAAGAAAACGCCAATTCAACCAAAACCCAGAGTCAGGAAGGAACCTGACAAGAGCAATCCCTAGGGTATTCACATGCCTGCCAGGGTCTGGTGCTGCTGGTGCAGGCGGAACTGCTGCTGGCAATAGCTGGAAAAAAAAAAAAAAAAAAAAGAGAGACGGCAGCTCTAACACTCAGGGGATAGTAAGAAAAGAACTCACTCAATTAGCCTTCAATTCTCACACAGCCAATACCCTTCCAGCCTCCCTACAGGGTCTCACTGGGAGGACTGGCACATAATTAAATGCCAATACATGGGCAAAACAATCTATAGAAGGGTAGGATCAACTGGGTCAGAAATGCTCATAAGGCCGGGCATGGTGGCTCACGCCTGTAATCCTAGCACTCTGGGAGGCCAAGGCAGGCAGATCACTTGAGGTCAGGAGTTCGAGACCATCCTGACTAACAAAGTGAAACCCCATCTCTACTAAAATACAAAAAAAAAAAACTTAGCTGGGCATGGTGGCACGCATCTGTAATCCCAGCTACTCGGGAGGCTGAGGCAGGAGAACTGTTTGAACCCAGGAGGCAGAGGTTGCAGTGAGCCGAGATTGTGCCATTGCACTCCAGCCTGGGCAACAGAGTGAGACTCCTTCAAAAAAGAAAGAAAGAAAGAGAGAAAGAGAGAGAGAGAGAGAGACAAAGAAAGAAAGAAAGAGAAAGAAAGAAGAGAGAAAGAAAGAAAGGAAGAGAAAGAAAGAAAGGAAGAAAGAGAAAGAAAGAAAGAAAGAAAGAAAGAAAGAAAGAAAGAAAGAAAGAAAGAAAGAAAGAAAGAAAGAAAGAAAGAGAGAGAGAAAGAAAGGGAGGAAGGAAGGAAGAAAAAGAAATGCTCACAAAAGAGACAGGGTTCAGGTTAGGCCTTGAATGGTTCAGCTTTAGGAAAGTGGAGACATGGAGAAACATAAGCCAGGGAACCAGATGTCAGGCACCACTGTAGATGCTAGAGTTTTTTTGTTTTTGTTTTTGTTTTAATTATACTTTAAGTTCCGGAGTACATGTGCACAATGTGCAGGTTTGTTACTTATGTATACATGTGCCATGTTGGTGTGCTGCACCCATTAACTCGTCATTCACATTAGGTGTATGTCTTAGTGCTATCCCTCCTCCCTCCCCCCACCCCACGACAGGCTCTGGTGTGTGATGTTCCCCACCCTGCGTAGATGCTAGTTTTAAAGAGGGTCCGAGGAATGAGAGTAGGCTTGCAGATGTTATTTTATTTACTCTCTCAATCAATACTTGAAATTATTTCAGAGGAGGATGCTCATCCTCAGAAAGGAGAAGTAACTTGTCAAGGTCGGTGGTGGATATGGGATTAGAAACTTGATGAGGCTAACAGCAGACACCGTGTAACCACCACTACCACTGAGAGACCTGAACGAAGTATGTGTAGTGAACAGGAAGGAGCAGGGGGAGCCAGAGCACAAACAGTCAGTTAGAAAGACAGGGAAGTTATGTAAGCTTGCTAAAGGGGGAATCACATGTTGTAGAGGCATGAACAGTAGATATAGAGGTTCAAACTTGATCTTGTGATTATAGAAGAGCCCCTGAAGGTTTTGAGTAAGGGCAGAATCAGTCAAAGTGAAACCTTAAGCCAAGATCGGTGGGTAGTGGAAATGGGGTTCTGGGCTCCTAAGGTAAAGAGATACCACCAACAACAGTGTAGGGGGCCACGTGATGCATGGAACAAGAATTGGAGGGAGAAGCTGAAGTCCTGGGCTTAAATGCAAAAAGTCATGCAGTGAGGGCATGGCTATGGAAGGTAAGTTATATTCTCTCTCTGTAGTTTGGTCTCTCTTCAGCCATAAATCACATGCAATGAGAATTAATATCTAAATGACCCTCAAACCTTGCTACTCAAAGTGTGGTCCACCAACCAGCAGCAACGACATCATCCAAAACTCCTTAGAAACTGAGAATCTCAGGCCCGACCAGAAGAATCAGAACCTGTATTTAATCAAGATCTTCAGGTGATCTATGAACACATTAAGATTTGTGAAGCACTTCTCTCCAGTGTCTTCCACTTCTAAAATGCAACTATTTCATACTCAGCTCAACTATGTAACCTCACAAGAGAAAAATAATAATGAGGTTTACCTTTCACCTCATTCGTGACCTTTTCTTAATCCTAAAAGCCTCTTAGGCTTGCCCACATTCTGGTAGAGGTTTTAGAAAACACCGGAAAGGGCCAGGCACAGTGGCTTACACCTGTCATCCCAGCACTTTGGGAGGCCGAGGTGGGCGGATCACGAGATCAGGAGATCGAGACCATCCTGGCTAACACGGTGAAACCCCGTCTCTACTAAAAATACAAAAAGGTGGGCGTGGTGGCGGGCGCCTGTAGTCCCAGCTACTCGGGAGGATGAGGCAGGAGAGTCGCCGGAACACGGGAGGCGGAGCTTTCAGTGACCCGAGATCCCGCTACTGCACTCCAGCCTGGGCGATGGAGAGAGACTCCCTCTCGGAAAAAAAAAGAAAAAACAACAGCAACAACAAAAAAAAGAACAGAGAGTCAGCACTGCCACCTTGTGGCTATCATCAGTTAATGTACCTAACTCCTGGGGTAAAGGAGGGTATAGGGCTGGCTGGAGCAGGAACAGAGGTAGTTGGTGAAGTCCAAGTCACAGACTGGATAAGACAATCACAGCTGCCCACATAACTGAAAGTAACTGTCATAGAGAGCTCAGCCTGCATCACTGAGCAATGTCTCACTGCAAAGGACAGGTTTTATAATACTTAATATGTGATATCAGTGGGAAACCTCATTCCAAGCCAAGCTCTGCCTTGTTACCTTAAAAATCATTGAGAGGTATTTTCAGACACCCCCATCCCTGGTTTGAATTCTGCCAGTAAACTTGTAATTTTCCAAGGAAACTTCCTTTACTGTGACAGTTCTTTTTCATCTTGAGTCAAAATGTATCTGATTCACACTCACCAATCCTCATCCTACTCTCCACAGGCTGAAATAAGTTTAACACCTTTTCATACAACCAACCTTCAAATATGTGTAAACTACCCCCATGCACCACCCACCCCATCTTCCCTCCACCACCTGCCATAAGGGGTCACCTGAAGTCCCACACCCTCTGCTCACTTACCCATGAGCAAGTGAAATGCAGCAATCACAGCAGACACTCTGAATCATAGGGGTGTTCCCCAGAACAGCAGAGCCACAGGACCCCCAATCCCGTCCTGGCACCTCCTAGAAGCCAAACCCCATATCAGCTGATGTGGGGACACTGACTTTTCCTGCTTCTGCTGCTGCTCAGTCATCCCACATCTGTGCAAATGTCTACTTTTTATTCTGTTTTATTTTGTAAGAAATATTTATCAGAGCCTGCTGTGCACTGTCACTGGAGAGACAAAGGTGAATCACACCCGGTCACTGCCTCACAGAGCTCCAGGTTATAGACAGAACCCACTCAAAGCAAGACCATTACCATTCAGTGAGAAACACCGTGACAGACATCAGCACAGGCTTCTCTGACCCACCTCACCAATGCCCTGTGAAAAATCTTCCACTGGCCGGGCGCGATGGCTCACCCCTGTAATACCAGCACTTTGGGAGGCCGAGGCAGGTGGATCACGAGGTCAGGATATCAAGACCATCCTGGCTAACACGGTGAAACCCCATCTCTACTAAAAATACAAAAAATCAGCCAGGCGTGGTGGCGCGTGCCTGTAGTCCCAGCTACTCGGGAGGCTGAGGCAGGAGAATGGCGTGAACCTGGGAGGCGGAGCTTGCAGTGAGCCAAGATTGCCCCACTGTACTCCAGCCTGGGTGACAGAGCGAGGCTCATCTCAAAAAAAAAACAAAAATCTTCCACTACTGGTTTTCTGAGATCAGTTTTCCTCATTTCAAGCTCAAACTGAAAAAGAGAATGCAAATGTCCCCAGTGGTCCTTTGTGCAGTCACAGCTGGACCCAGCATGTCCTCCTGGCTAATCCAGGGTGCTCAGGGCTCCCACTTCACTCTGAACATCCTCTTTCCTATGGGAGCTCACCACGTCTGTACCTGCAGCAGCCACGTAGCTGCACACTAACAGAAAATCCAGCAAGTCAGGAAACTTGCTTTACTCCTGTAACTTTGAGACTGGTGACCTTGTGACATTGAACTAATCCTGTAACTTCCCTGCACTTTAATTTCCACGTCTGTAAAGTGGGGCAGGTGGATTCGGTCACCCTAGGTGCAGCTGTATAGTGAAAGCTCCTCAGAGACAGCAGCACACCTGATCTCAGCATCCACCGTCTAGCAAATACCAGGCACACACTAGGCACTCAAAGCCTCACTTGAATATATGTGTGAATAAATGACTATATGAGAGCCATGTGGATCATGGACAAAGTCAACAAATATTTTTGAACATCTACCAAGCACATTGTAGAATAGGGAAATAAGTAACCCAGGCAGAGTGGTGTTTTCTCCCAACTTCCCCTTACCTCCTTCCTGGGGAAGGAAGGGCCTCTGTACATCAGAGAGACTCTTGATACAAATAATGTTCTTGAAATGCGTTATAAGAAGTTGTCATGTTAACAAGAGGAAAGTCCATTTGTTTTAGAGGTATTTTAATCAATGGATCTGAAGGACCTGAAGCCCCCAGTGATGAGACACAGGATGTGACACCCACCCCAAGTGCATGGAGAGGAAACCAGATGGAGTGAACTGACAGGGAGCAGGACCTGGGAGAACAGAGGGGTAAAGAGACTTAGGCACCCGGAGGGAGGTCTGAGGAGGTGCTCCCGGCCCCTGTGG